GTGGGACTAGAACTCACCGTCTCCTGGTGATTGGCCCAAAGTCACTTTCGTGCCTCAGGTGGGACTAGAACTCCCAGTCTCCCAGGTTCTAGCCCCATGCCTCCCCCATTAGACCAAACTGGCTCACAGATCTAGTTACTGCAAGGCAGAAAGCAGACCCCACCCAGATCCTTAGATCATTTCTGGTGGATCCCGTTCCCGCTGACCTCCCTTGTCCCTTGTGATTTCCAGCCCAGGCTGCCAAGGAATCGCTCCTGCCATATTTCCAAGCCATCATGGAGCACCTGACAGGTTACATGCTGACCAACCAGGAAGACCTCAGGCCCGTTCAGATACAATCTGTCGGTACGGAAAAGTTTTCACTACTCTTACGGCCGTCATTAAAACGAAAAGCATTGGGTACCAGGACTCTTGGCTTATAAAGTTTCCACGATAATAAAAAAAAAAAAAGAAGCCAATTTAGGTCTTCAACTTGCAACTGGAAAAATATTAATTACGGGATAATAAAAAATACATGTGTTTTAGATTTTGGCAGTGGGTTTGTTCTCCGACCTTGTTTTAATTGAATTTTTGAACGTCTCGTTACCACTCTGGGTAACATTATCGGGATTTTTCTTGTCCTATTTTAGCTCATATATAATTTGATAAAGAGAAATAAGACAAGAAAAATCACGCTACTGATGCTACCTAGTCAGGTAACGAAACGTTCAAAAATTAAATTGGAACAAGCTTGGAGAACAAACCACTGCCCCCCACACCGCCCCAAAAAAGTTTTATTATATTATTAAATAGTTTTATGTGGCCACCAAATTCACAGTCCTTCTGGGCTGCATACAACATTAAAAACAATCCAAAAAACCCCTAGAATCCTCCTGATTGACCGAATAACTACACAGATTCACTTAATGACTGTAGGAAGAAAGGTCATAAAATGAGGAAAAGCTCATTTGACAACTGTCTGGCTTAGCCAGAGAAAAGTTGATCCTAATTGTAGTCTTAAGTCAAGGAGTACCTGTATATACAGATAGTCCTCGAGTTACGGCCATAATGGAGCCCACCCATTCTGTGACCAGACCAATATTACATCCTTTTTTTTCAGTGGTCACTCAGGAAAAGCAGCCGTTGTTAAGCAAACCGCATTTGGCTTGTTGACTAGGGAATTCTGGGAATTGGAGTCCACACATCTCAAAATAGCCACGGTCGAGAAATTCTGATTTATCCACACCTCCCTGTTTCCCTTTTGCAGAGACAATGGCTACCCTTGCCAACGTCCTGAATAACGACATCTTCCGGCCGCTTTCCGAGAAGTGTTGCCAGCTTGGATTGGACCTTTGCGACAGAGTGGACGACCCAGACTTGCGACGGTGCACGTACGTCTTTTGGGGCCATTCCCATCACCTGGTGTCAATTTTTCCCTCTCGTCTCGGTTCCTTTTAAAGCCCCAGCCTACCGTATGTGGGTGAATTTTCAATGATGGGAAATTGTCACCATGTTTGAAGGTGCCTTCTGGACACACTGAGAATATATCTGCTTAACAAAACTCCACACTGGTGACAGGAAGGGCATCCGGCCATTAAAACACTCTGCTAGCTCCATTCAGTTGTCCAGACTCCATCCATTACGGATTACGGGGTCATTAAAAGACAATGACTCTTCTCAAATCTGGGTTGTACGTAGCTTTGAGGGAATACGCTGGAACTTTGAACTTTGAACTAAGCGATCGGTTACAAGTTGAGGATTACCTGTATAGAGACTGGCTAGGTGCTATACTATTAAAAAGGCAGGGCTGGGATGAAAAAACAACACGATTAAATCCAACAACTAAAAGTTGTGCCCAATTATACAACTTTATTTTTTGCTATGGGTTTTTTTTAAACAAATTTTATTCAGTTTTTCACATTAAAAACAAAAATTTCTTTTTAGTGGATGACATATTTCAGGGTTATCACTTTTACATACAAATATGACAGCAATTATACATTCATATATGCATACTTAATTATATTATTACCTTTTCCATTCTAAATTTTCAGTAAGGAGAGAAACAAACACATTAATTCTGGCCTCTTTCATTAATCTCAGTCGAAACATCTTTTTGTTTCGATTTCAGTTATTTCAAATATATAATCCTTTAGTATTTGTTTTAAAAACAAAGTTAAACTATGTGTTTGCCTAATAATAATAATAAAGATTACCAATGTATCTCCTTGCTTTTAATAGTCTATATTAACTTATTAGTTTAGTTGGTTCTTTAGTCTGTCATATTTCCTTTCCATTACACATTCTTTGTATAAATCCTAGATTAATACAAATTTTAACACTAAAGAAAAAAAAACAAGTATAGGTTTCCCCCCTTTTATTGCTTTGCGTGTGACACCTCAATGATTAAAATATACCTTTATTCCCTCATCTTGATTCCCAATAAACCATTATTTTTAAGAAGTTACAATAATAATCATTACATCTTTTCATTTGGATTCTGCAGCATATATTCCCCCCTTAATTGTTAATAAAAGTTATCAGTATCTATATTACACTATTTTCTAAATAGTTTTAATTGCAGAAATATTCCTATTACCCCTTGTCACCCTGCAGAATCCCCTTTTTAATTCATCAACCATTTTCTCTGAAAAAACAATTTCTTTTCAGCATTTTACTATTTCTGTATTTATTTCATGCACCTGTTTCTTACTGCTTCTCCTCCCCCTCTTTTCCCCATATCTTTTCTCATTCCAGTTTATATCCCTCTCTTTCTTAATATCTTCCTTTCCCCTTTTCTGCTGGGTCTTTCTGCCTTTCCCGACTTCACAGGTATTCCCCCTTTTGATTACTTTCTTAAATCTCAACTTTTTAACCTTCCTTCTTTCCCCACTTCTTTGTAGTGTTCTTTGTGTTAATTGTCTATTTAAAATGTCTTCTCCTTGAGTCGACTCCTCCTCCTCTGAAGCTCTTTCTTCTTGTTCTTCAACCGCCATTTCCATTTTTTCTAACACAGAGCAAAGTGATTCGCCTCTTTCCTGTAGTAATTCTCTCATATTTTTAAGTTTCATTTTTAATTCCCGAAGAGATATCATCATTACGCACTCTTGTATTTTATGATCGTTAAAGTCCACAAAAAATCCACTTTTACTTTCCTTCTTTCTTCTTTCAATTTTCTAAAGTTCTCAATTGTTCCAGCCCAGGGTCTATACCAAAAACATCAATCAATCCCACAGTCAGTCTTTCCTTGCTTTTTTCTTTATTCTGGTTCTTTCACTTTCTAAGATTCTTATTTTGTTTCAGTATTTCTTTAGTGTTATATCCACACAAGTTCATTCAGAAACAGGATGCTTTCCCTTTTGTTTGAGCTCAAGTTTTTGTCAAAAGGTGGCACTCTCCATTATACAAAGTCTTCACTTTTTCCCCTATTTTTTTAGGGTTTTTCGAACCTCAATATTCCAGCACAGTCCAGACTCCAATTTGTAAACTTTATTATTATTTTTTGACAATCTTAAGTCCAACTTTATTTTATACCTGTTTATTGCCAAAATAGTTTAGTCCAATTTAGTTAAATCTTCACTTCCGGCTTCTTCCTTTCCCGGTTCGAAGCCCCAGTTAGCTGTCAGAAATATTTTCTTATTTTTTTTCCTGTCCCTTTGTAATTTCGCTGCTCGCTTTCCTTTTCTTAAAAATTCCATGTTACCTTTATACCTTTACCTTTTTGTTTAGTTTTATTGCCCAGTTGTCCCGGTTCAGATGTTATCCACCTCTTTCTTCCCTCCTGCACAAAGCTTAATCCAGCTGAGTCCTCCTCTTCAGGGTGGCCATTTTAAACCACCACTGCAGTCGTCTTCGGGGGGGGGGAGACCAAGCCCAGGAGGGGAGATGCAGCTCCCCTCACCCTGGCTTGCAGCTTCCCCTTACTCCGCCGCACCTCCAAGGCGGCTTCAGCCCCTAATCGTAATGATCGGGGCTCTCCAACAAAAGAGCACGGACCATATCTGCAGAGACTCACGATCTACGGTCCATCAGCGAGGAGGCTCCGCCTTCTTCCCTGCTATGGTTCTTAAGCAAATCATTGTAGTCGTTAAGTGAATCAGGCTGTCCTTAAGCAAATTCAGCCTCCCCTTGAAGCTAGAAAGGTTGCAAATGGCGATCAGGTGACCCCAGGACCTTCATCCGCTGTGGGGTGGGATAATGTTCTCTGTGTACATGTAGTCCTCAACTTAACGGCCACAGTCAAGGCCAAGATTTCCACCGCTAAGCAAGACATCTGTTAAAAAATTTTTGCACCATCTTACCTTCCTTGCCACCATTGTTAAGGGAATCACTCTGGTGGTTAAGTGAATAACCCCATTGTTATGGCTTCCCCATTGACTTTGCTCTCCAGGACCCTGCGATTGTCATAAGTACGAGTCAGTTGCCAAACATCCGACCGTGGGGGTTGCTGCAAGGGTCATAAGAGTGCAAAACAGTCGTGTTGCTTTTTAAAGTGCCGCCGTAGCTTTGAATAGTCACTAAATAGACATTGTAAGTCGAAGACCACTTGTAATGTTAATTTTTGGGGGTTGCCAACGCCCCAGATCGAGACTTTTTGTAACCCAGAAACTCTGCCGCCTTCAGGTACAGCCTTTTCAGCTCTCTCGCAAACGTCATGGGGGATTCGATCACCCCGTACCTGCCTCGGATAACGACGCTTCTGATTTATTCCCTCAAATCCACCGAGGGCGTCAAGGTGAGACGGCAAGCCCTGTGCAGGGCTGGGGAATTCTGGGAGTTGAAGTCCAACCGGTCTTCCCATGGCTGATTTTTAGACTCTCGAATCACACTTGAGGGACAAGGAGCACTGATATTGTTAGCTAGTTGGGTCATGAGACGTCCGCAAGAAAACTAGCTCAGAGAGCAACAAGGACCCCACAGTTCTCCTCCTCTCCTCCACTCAGCAAACCTTACTCCCTTTTAGCACTGATACTGTTACCTAGTTGGGTCATGAGATGACTACGAGAAAACCAGCTCATATAGCACCAAGAACTCCACAGTTTTCTTCCTCCTCCTCCACTCCACAAACCTTGTAGCACTGATATTGTTACCTAGCTGGGTCATTAGATGTCTGCGAGAAAACCAGCTCAAAGAGCACCAAGGACCCCATAGTTCTCCTCCTCCACTCTGCAAACACTACTCCCTCGTAGCACTGATATTGTTACCTAGTTGGGTCATTAGATATCTGCAAGAAAACAAACCAGTTCAGAGCACCAAGGACCCCACAGTCTTCCTCCTCCTCCTCTACTCCGCAAACCCGACTCCCTCGTAGCACTGATATTGTTGCCTAGTTGGGTCGTGAGACGTCCGCGAGAAAACAAACCAGCTCAGAGACCACCCAGGACCCCACGGTTCAATCGTGAGGTAGAGACATTCCTTCTCCCCATTCTTTTCATTGTCATTCTACTTCTAAGGTTCCGCTTCTAAGATTTTCTAAATTTGCTGAATAAAACACAATCTTCTTTGGGGAGTTTTTCTTTTAAACTCGGGTTTTTGTTTCTGTTCGTTTCTTAAGCCTCCGGATTAATTTTAGCCAGGAAAAACTCAACCCTGGTTAGATTCCCGAAGCCACAGAGGTGGTTCGTTTGATTCGGGATTCTAACCAGCCGGGCTGCTTTGATATTTGGTGAAGATGGTGGATCGTCGCTAACCGAAGTCGCTTTTTTTTCTCTCTTTTTCTTTTGTTTGGACCTTCTCAAGCTAACTTCTATTTTATCTTGTTCAATTAAATTCAGCTTATGTTTGGCTAATATTAACTGGTTTTGTAGTCCTTGGATCTTAGGGGTTTTTTGTAATTGTATTTCTAAGTCTTTGATTTGTTGTTGTAATACGTTTTGTCGGGCATAAATTCTCTTGTTTCTCATAGCATTATTTTTTCTCTCTTTTTCATAGCTTCCCCTCAGTTCAGAAGATTCCTTCCTATTATTCGATGATGAGGAAGAGGAAGCAGAGGTAGAAGAAGAATCTCTTACCGACGAGGAAGATGAGGAAGATGAGGAGTCTTTGGGGTAATTTTCTCATCTCAGGAGGGTTTATTGAGCTCCCATATTTATTTTGTCCAACAAAAATTCATTTTATCGCACAAATTGGTTTCATCCTGCAAAACAAAGCTCCCGTTTGCTTCTCAGGACGGATAGTTATCAGATAGCGGCATGAATGTGAGTTTCTTACTATCCTTCCCAGTTTCTGAGCTTGTACAGATAGTCCTCGACTTACAATGGTTCCTTTAGTGACCGTTCAAAGTTAATGACGGTGTTGGAAAAAAGTCAAAATAGGAACGTTTTTCACACTTTTAACGACTGCTACGGCATTCTCCCACGCTCACGGGATCAAAATTCTGACGCTTTGCAACTGACTCCCCTTTATGACGGTTGCAGCGTCGCGCGATTTCCCCCTTTTGCAACCTTCTGACGAGCCAAGTCCGTGAGGAAGCAGAATTCGCAACAACTGTGTTATTCATTTAACGGCAGTGGCGATTCACTTAGCAACTTTGGCAAGGAAGGTCGTAAAACGGGGCCAAGCTCACTTAACCCGCATCTCGCTTAACCACGGAAATTTCGGACTCGATTGGGGTCGTTTAGTTGAGGACTGTCTTGTTTCCTTGGGGGCTGCCTCCCTGTCCGGAAAAATAGTCCTCGGCCTTCATGAGGACTGGAAACATAAAATCTTCCATTTGAGGTTGGGGTTTCAGAATCTTCACCATTTTAAGGTGGGGGGGCTTCAGCTTTTCTTCTTCCCCCCCCCAGGATGTGCGTACGAAGCGTCTTTATGGATGAGAAGGAAGACGCCTGCATAGCCCTGGGAGAAATCGCTGTCAGTGTGAGGTAGCTTGGATTTCCTAAACAGGTTTTCCTAAATTCCGTGTGTCTTATTTATTTATTTATTTGATTTTTTTTTTTTTTAAATCCCGCCTTTCTTACTTTATAAACAACTCTGAGGCGGCAAACATACATAAGAACTCCCTCCTCTGTCTTTCCACATAACAACAACCCTGTGAGGCGGGCTAGACTGAGAGAGAATAATTGGCCCATAATCAGCCAATCGGCTTTCATTGCTAAGGCGGGACTAGAAACTCCCAGTCTCCCAGCGATTGGCCCAAAGTCACCCAGCCGCCTTTCATGCCTATGGCGGGACTAGAACCAAGCAAACTCTGGGAAAAACAGCTGACTGCAGGCTTGGGAAAAAAAGCTGTTTTGCTCCGAGAAATCCTTCCTTTCTCTTCCTTCCCTCCTTTTTTGTCTTCTCTTTTCCTCAGTATGCCCTTCCTGCCTTACATCGAGACCTCGTTCCAAGAAGTGTCCCAGTTGCTTCCGGTAAGGCTGGGAGGTCTGCGATCCCTTGACGGAAAAACCGTTTTCGGGGGTGCGAAGGGGGTCTTTGGGGGGGTCCTCGCCGAAGAAAAGCTGAACGAGGCCAAAGCGCCTCGAGTCGTTGTAGGTTTTAAGGACCTTACAAGTAGTCCTCGACTAGCGACCCTCTACTTAGTGACCGTTCCGAGCTATGACGGGAAAAGAGCAACTTACGACTTGGGTTCGAAGTTCCGGCAGCCGGGCCCCCTCCATGGTCACGTGATCAAAGTTTGGAGGCGTGGCAGAATGGGACACATTTACGGCTGATTCGGTTTTATGACTGTTTTGCCGAAAACTGACTTCCGCTTTTCGGCAAAACCGCACCTTGCTTCACTTAATGACTACTGTGGTTGTTTTACAACCGCCACGAAAGAAACGTTTAGAAATCACATCGGCCCTGTGACCGACCCGGTTTATGACCATTATGTCATAAAACCTCCAATGGCCAGGGTTCGATTTACTATGTCCTAGGTCAATCCACAACTTACAAACCATTTGTTCAGTGATCAAAGTTACAACTGCGCTAGAAAAAAAAGACTTATGACCAGTTTTCATGCTTACGACCATGGCACCATTCCTTGGCGGTCAGGTGATCAAAATTTGGCCGCTTACCAGCCGGCATGTACATATGACTGACATATGCTGCAGCCACGTAATCCCCTTCGGTGACCTTCCTGCCAGCTTCTGGAAAGCCGAGCCAATAGGGGAGGAAAGCCAGATTAGCTTAATGACCACGTGATTCGCTTAACCACTGCAGCGATCCACTTAACTATGGCAAAAAGGTTGTAAACTGGGACGCAATTCATTGAACAGGTGCTTTGCTTATAGCCATGAATACATTGGCCTTAATTTGCGGTTTATAAGTGAAGGACTGTGTGTCTAAGCCCAGAAGGCGAGCGGCGACACGACCCATTTTACAACAGTTAATGATATACCACTCAAAAGGAGCAGACTCCATTCTTGGTCGTACGTTGAGGACTGTCTGAATAGTTCTAATCATCGCCATCTTTTAATGACCATGATCCCTTGTGGGGTGGAATTTGAGAAACTGAATGGAGCTGAGTGTTTACTGGCCGGATGCCCTTCCTGTTGCCGGTACGGAGTTTTGTTCAGCAGATATATATATATATCTAGATATATGTGGATCTTTGGTTGTTCGGGTTTTCTCCCGCGTAAGAAAACCCGAACAACCAAAGATCCACATACAAATACCCGCGAGAACCTCAG